GGCGAAGCTAACGATACCATCTTGCGAAACTCCTCAGAGAACAGTTTATCGGAATTCGTCGGAGTATGGATCAGTCGACCGGAGAGACGGTATTGAAATCAGAGATTCCGGTGAAGGATCAGAACCCAAAGCCACCACAGATCACCGATCCGAAACCAGTGGATCAAGGACCTAAAGGAGCCGAGGATGCGAGTTCTGTGATCGTCTTATCTGAGGAATCTGAGCTACAAGGTGGAACCGAGACTAAAGGAGCTCAAACACCGACTCGATCTTCATCTGGATCGAGGAAATCTGTTCATTGGAATCCGGAATTGGTTTCTGAATCACCGGCTCCGGATCAGAAATCTTCATCGTCTTCCTCAGCTCGATCTAATCCGTACATCGCTCGTTCTCCAGCTGAAACTACTACAGATGCATCGTTGAAAGGTAAAATCGGAATTTTGTGTGATTTTGTGCATGTGTGAATCGTTTTGCAAATCTCTTTGAAATTTGGAATCAGATACTATGGAGTCTGTGAAAGGTGTGCTTGGTAGATGGGGAAGGAAAGTTGGAGAAGCGGCTATGAAGGCAGAGAGCCTCGCCGGAAACACGTGGCAGCACCGTGAGTTTCTGATCTGCTCTCTTTATATGCCACATTGTGATTCATAGGTTTGGAGTTTGAATTTGTTGAGAGATATGTTTGATTGTAGTATGTAGTTGTAGAATCACTCCAATGGAATGTTCTTGATGAGTGTTTGAGCAATTGAGAATTTGTGTGATTTGGTATCTCTAATGATGAATTTTTTTGGTATCTGAATTTAATCAGTGAAAACTGCACCGAGTTTTGCGGATGCGGCGATGGGAAGAATTGCGCAGAGTACAAAGGTATTGGCAGAAGGAGGGTATGAGAAGATTTTCAGGCAAACTTTTGAAACAGTTCCAGAGGAGCAGCTGCAGAATTCGTTTGCGTGCTACTTGTCGACATCAGCTGGTCCGGTCATGGGAGTTCTTTACATATCCACTGCTAAACTTGCCTACTGTAGCGATAACCCTCTCTCGTATAAAAATTCTGGCCAAACTGAATGGAGCTATTATAAGGTATTTTTCTTTACTCTTCAGAAAATTGTAGTTATTGAAGTTGTCTGTGATCGATAACTACCTCACTATGAACCATCGAGAATATAGAAAGCTACCTCATCGATAATAGCATCAGCGTAGATCTTTTTTCTGTTTTTTTTTTGTTTCCCAATGCATTCTATCAAACGAGGAAGAGAGTGAAGAACGTTAGATTATATGACGACTTTTCTTGTGTAGACTATGATAGCTTTGCGTAGAGTACTGATTAATACTTTATATCTTCTTTTTAAACAGGTAGTAATCCCATTACATCAGCTAAAATCGGTTAATCCTTCGACGAGCATAGTCAATCCCGCGGAAAAGTACATCCAGGTAATCTCGGTCGATGACCATGAGTTTTGGTTCATGGGTTTCTTAAACTACGAAGGCGCTGTTACATTTCTGCAAGATACATTGAAAGCTGGTGCGGTACAGTCAGTGTGATATAACCTGGTGCATTCTTTGATCACAATAGCATTTTTGTTGCAAAAACTAAATTATTTGATTCTCATTCTTGATCAGTTACCATGACTTAATACACCTGTAGCATTCCCCTTTGCTAAGTATTCTCCAAATCACATTATTGCTTATAGAAAGAAAACTAATTGGATTCTAGGATTCAATGTTATTATGTTAATTTCCGCAATTTTTTTATAAGATGATAGATTAGTAGCAACTCGAATTTTCCGATCTCCATATGGTTTTTAAAGAAGATTATGTTGTGATATGCGTATCTCTTATTCCGCTTGTGTTTTAAATAGGATAAATACTTCAAACATAGATACCGGGAGATAGGTACCGATCGGGGCCAATTAATCTCTTTACCATCTCCACCCGAGTTCATGAGCCTTGGTTTGA